AGGGCTGTGGTAAAGATTAAATAAATCAACCCATGAAACTGCTTGGAACACTGCCTGGCACCTACTCACTGTTCAGTTAAGGTCTGCTGCTTAGTATCATTATTAGTGATTTCCTTACAATCCAAAAATTCTGGGAGAGTTTACTTTGAGCTCAATGTTTAGTGTCATACTTAAAAAGCAAATTCCTTGGTCATTCAGAGGGCACTAGGTGAGAGGCCCCCAACAGAGGAGAGATCCTTGTGTGTCCCAGGTGAACGGCCACATCTTCTTACATGGCTCAGCCTTTATATTCTAACTGAAGTGCCTCTTCCTTGCTACCCCCCACCCCCCAAGAAGCTCATACTCTTCCTTCAAAACCAGCTGACACGCTAACTCTGTGTCTCTTTCCCTCCACCCTGGGAGCAGAACCACAAGGTGCTCTTCTGTGCTCCTGAAGCCCGTGGATAAACCCCCAGTGCCGTATTTTTCACACTTGAATCCAGTGAGCAGAGAGCAGGGCTTGCTCACCTTTGCTCTGTTGTTATCTGACAGTGGGGAACAGCATTTCTCAGTGAAAGAGCACACATGTCGTAACACAAGGAAAACTCTACACTCACGGGAAAGTGCTAGCTTGGGACACTTAACCCGCACGTGGATGCAGTGCATACTCTCTGGCTGCAGAAGAAGGTCTTGGAGTACTCCTTTTCTCCCTCCTCCTCTGTAATGACGCCCTTAAAGCCTTTCCCAACTTTTTGAAAAATTGGAAATCACTGAGCCTGCTAACACAGCAGGGAAGCAGGAATATGCTAAATCAATGAAACACCATGTACTAGCCTTTTACTTCATTCTGACTTTCTTCTCTTTTTCTTTCCAGTTCTTTTCGGTCATAATTTAATCTTCTCAGGCACATAATTCCACACTGGAAACTGTTTCTATTTTTTAAAAAAAGAGATTATTTAGAGATGGCAACAGTGAAAAATCTTGTAGTCAACTAGTAAGAACCATCTGCATTAACCTACCTGTGGAAACTGTCGACCATTTTCAGCTGCCCGCGGAGGTCCTTCTTGGTCAGGTGGTCCA